TGCTTCTGTAAGCAAAGGTGGGCTCTGCGGGCAGAGTGCAGGCTTCCGCCTGTGTTTGGGAAAGGCCCGGCCGTCTGTGGGAGGGCAGTGAGGGCCTGGCCCAGTGCAGACCCCACCGTGTGGTAGGGCCTCCGCAGGTGGTGTACAAAGCAGGACTGCAGCTGAATTTTAGCAATAAGGTGGGCAGCGTGGGTGCTGTTTGAGTGCCTGGAGGGGCTGTTGCTTGGACTGCTTCCCGGCCATGCAGGAGAGGACTTGGAGCCTCTTGGTGTTTAAGCAGGGAGATCCTGAAGACGGGAAACCTTCCTACTCTTAGGTTGAGCTGGCACTTCGTCTTCAGTAGGGATTTTCTGTGGCTGGCCAGAGACTTGAAATCCAGCTCCGAGCCTTCTATCCAAGCGTCCTGTGGGCTCCATCTCTGAAGGGCCTGTGGAACATTCCCATGTTTAAAACAGTCAGCTGCAGTTCACAGTCATTGGGAGGGTTTCTAATACTGAAGAGGAGCTTGTGCAGCGCTCTCCTGACCTCCCTGAACGTTGCTGTAGCTGTGCAAAGGTTACTTCTCACGACAAGCACCATTCCCTTGGCAGGTAGATACATAAAGCTTTTCGGTACCTGCCTCCCATCCGTAAGTAACTAGATTAACGGTACGTATGTCCCAAGATGAGTGGGTGGATGGAGAGAGTTGTGTTATTTTTTTGTTTGTTTTTCTATATAATTTTAGTTGTGCAGCTTATTTCTTTATTTTTAGTAGAAACGGGTTCTCATTCTTGCTCAGGCTGGTCTTGAACTCCTGATCTTGAGTGATCCTCCCGCCTCAGCCTCCCAGAGTGCTAGGATTACAGATAGGAGCCACCACGCCCGGCCAAGAGAGTCATTTTTGTAAAAATTTGCGCCAGCCATGTCAGTGTTCCTGAGAAGGGTTTAGGCAGGTAGCTGGTACCTGGCTTCTCTCTCCTGTTCTAAAACTGACTAAAGAGAACCAAAACTTCATGGTGTGCCAAGTGAGACCCTTTCTAAAGAATGTCCTTGCATCCGTTTTGGCAGGGTGGGATTGTTTCTCCCAGGCCTGATACTTGTTGACTCACTTTTGACAGCAGCTTCCTGTGGTTTGGGCTCCAGAGCCTAGGAAGGGAAACGTGTCCACAGCCGACTTCCAGAAACCTGGGTTTTCCGTCGTGACTCAGAACTCTTGCTGCTTCTCGGAGGTCTTAGCAGGAGGCAGGAAGGAAAGAGGTGGCAGGTGCTGCTGGGTAAGGAGGGGGAGGTGTTGGGACTGTTATCTGGCGTCCACTCTCAATTCGTGATTTCCAGGGAACAGCCTGGCTTTCTCGGTGGAGGGAGATTACTTAACAAAGAAGAGCTAATTAATTAACCCAGAACTTGGGTTTTCCTGCTGTGTAGGGTGGTGAAGCAGCCTGAAATGTCCACCTTAAAGGAAGTCCTCGCACAGAGGGGCAAGGGCCAGGCTCTCTGGGCTTCTGTAACGAAGTGGGGCTGTCTCTGGCCACCTTTGGTTTTGTTTCTTTGGTGAGAAGCTTTGCTCTTCGTTTTGTGTTTCGACCAACCTTTAACGATGTTGAGGTGTTTTGAGTCACTTTCTCACTTAGGAAGCAACCATGACCTTAGAGTCCGCCCTTTGCAAGTTTTTGGTTTGAAAGTGAACCAAAATAACAAAGACTAGGCACTTAATTATAACCTACTGCTAAGCCTCGTCTGCCATCTGGAGCCACCCTCTGACTCTGTAAAATGTTAAATCATACAGATAAAAGTGCACCATTTCACAGTAATAGGCTCTCGGTATTCTGGCCTGGAGAAAACTCGTTTCCTGTACTTGCCGGTTCCTGTGCCGTGGGAGGCAGTACATGGCCCAGCCCTCCTCAGCAAGATGGGGAGAGAGGCACACCAGAAATTCCATGATAGCACCAGGATTCCTTGGAATCGGTAGAAGCCTTTCTCATGCCTCGTACTCTATTGAAGTTAGGAATATGCTCACCAGATTTTTTTTAAAAGACATTTTATCAAAGCACGAAATGGAAAAACAAGTTACAAATTGAAAAAAGACGATGGATATATGTAGAGTTCCTACAAATCCGTAAGAAGAAAGCAAAGTATTTCACAAAAGATGAAGTATGGCCAAAAAACAATGCCTAAGCCTCATGAGTGATCAAGGAGTTGTTAATAAGGCTTCAAGGAAATGGAAAACTATTTTATACCCATTGAAATGGCAAAAATCAAAAAGCCTGATGAGCCAGTTGCTGGAAGGTTTGTGGGTGTCTTACATATTACAGGTGAGGGTGTAAACAGGTACAGCCACTTTGGAAATTAACTGAACATTCCCATACTCTGCACCCCGGGGGCTCCCCTCCCGGCTATGTGCCCAAGAGAAATAACATGCACAGCAGCAACACTGAAACCAATTTGATGTCTGATAGAGCTAGAGAGAAACCATATTGAGATAACGGACTATCATGCCACAGGCTGAAGGAATAATGCCTCACTCGACACTGGCGGACCATAGCAACGCTAAGAGGTGGAAGATAAGCCCCAAGTGCTTACGTACAACATGGTACTTTCTTCACATACAAAATTAAATACTTTCTAAATACACATAACAAAAAGCAATTACTTAGGTGGGGGGAGGCAGAAGGGTAAATGGGTTCCTGAGGTACATTTTTCTTAAGAAAATCAATAGCTGGCCGAGCATGGTGGCTCATGCCTGTAATCCTAGCACTCTGGAAGGCTGAGGCTGAAGGATCGCTTGAGGTTAGGTGTTCAAGACCAGCCTGAGCAAGAGCGAGGACAACAGAGCGAGACTCTGTCTCAAAAAAAAAAAAAGAAAAAATAGAAAATCAATAGCTTTCTTGATGCTTTAAGACATGTATGACCCTGGAAGATTCTCAGCCCCAGAACTGGGTTTTTTTAGAAATGGTCTTCCAGGTCTTCCTCTGTCCCCAGGCTAGAGTGCAGTGGCATCATCATAGCTCACTGCAGCTTCCAATTCCTGGGCTCAAGCAATCCTCCTGCCTCAGCCTCACGAGTTGCTGGGACTACAGGTGTGCACTACTGCTCCTGGCTAATTTTTCTATTTTTTATAGATACTGGGTTCTTGATATGTTGCCCAGGCTGGTCTCAAACTCCTGACCTCAAGAGATGTTCCCACCTCAGCCTCCCAAAGTGCTGGGATTATGGCCCCCAGAATTGTTTAGAGCTCTTGCATTATTCTCGGTATCTTGCTTCTATAACAAATGTGCACAGATGTGCACTGTTCACTCAGCTGTGAACTGAAAAGCCCTGTTTGGTGATGAAAAAGTTTTAGAAATAGTGGCAATGGTTGCATAGCATTGAATGTAATTAATGCCCCTGAATGCATACTTTAAAATGGTTAAAATGGTAAATCTTATGTTATACCATGTATATTTTATCACAGTTTTAAAAAATGTAATATACTAAAAACTATTGAGTTGTTATAAAAACCTAAGTGTACTAGCATTTATACAACTGGACATGAACACCCAGTTTTTGGGGGTTATTTTTTTGGAGACAGTCTCACTCCCTTGCCTGGGCTAGAGTGCTGCAGCGTCAGCCTAGCTCACAGCAACCTCAAATTCCTGGGCTCAAGCGATCCTCCTGCCTCAGCCTCCAGAGTAGCTGGGACTACAGGCATGCAGCCACCATGCCCAGCCAATTTTTTCTATTTTTAATTGTTTGGCTAATTTCTTTTTATTTATAGTAGAGATGGGGGTCTTACTCTTGCTCAGGCTGGTCTTGAACTCCTGACCTCAAGCAATCCTCCCGCCACCACCTCCCAGAGTGCTAGGATAAGGATTACAGGCGTGGGCCACCGTGCCTGGCCGAACACCCAGTTTTTTTAAAGTTTATTTTCAAATTCACAGCTGAATAGTGGCTGAGGCTTGGAGACTATGTGAATTGACCAGATAGACGGAGCATGTCCTCCTTCCACTCAGGTCCAACCACTAAGTGTCCTGGGGTTGACAACTCCCTTGTTTTGTGGCTGGGAAAATGGGCCCATGGTGGGTCTAAAGTGGACCCCTGACTTGGCCGTGGCCAGAGGGCACACCTCTCTAGCACCTCCCAGTGCACAGGCCTGGGAGGAAGCGGGGGCAGAGCAGGTGGCCGGGGCCAGGCGCACAGTCCAGGGCTGGGGGAGGCCCATGCAGGCTTGTGCCCATTGTGAGGAGGGGCCAGGCAAAACAAAGGGTCCCTTTGAGGAGGACAGCCTTTGATGTCTGGGTTCAAATCCAGCCTCGCCTCCAGGAGCCTCTGTCTTCCTACCTGTCACCGTGTGGCAGAACGAGGGGGCGTGGTGTTACTTGCACAGCACAGATCTGGGAGCTGATGGCCTTGTCCCAGTTCCACCACGGGAGGCGGGGCATGCACTGCCCTCCTTGCCCACAGGGTGGCAGCAGTGCGGCCCAGCCACACGTCTGTGCTGCTACCTTGCCTGCTCGCAACAAGGGCTGAAATAGCCCAGCCCCTGGCCCAAAGGAGACCAGGGTTGGGGTCCCAGGCCTCCAGGAGTCCCGGGCTGGGGGCCTGGCTTCTGAAGTGCCACACCCTCCTGCTCTTCCCTGCAGGTGTCTCCAGCAGGTGGGATGTCATGGGATGCAAGTTGCTCAATGACCAGTAGCACGAGGCCCAGCACGACTCGCTGGGTGCGTTTAGTGACCTCTCCCAGGTGCCAGGACTGTCTCGCTCCACCCTCACCTCTGTGGAGACTGGGGACACCCGGGGGCCAGGACTGGGCACACGGGTGGCACTGGACAGATGTGGCTACGATCCGAGCCTGTCCTCCCTTGAGCCAGGAGCCTCGACTGGGAATGGGGGTGACAGGGCTCCCAGGCGGGGACAAGCTGGGCTGGGCTGTCCTTCCTCCCGTCCTGCTGCCTCTGGCTCACGAGGCCATCTTTTGTGGTGGTTTGTTCCGTCTGCTCCACCCGAGCGTGCATTGGCCGCTGTCCCACTGGTCTCTGTCCCTGCCCACCCATGTCCCATGTCCTTTGTGTCTGTGTCTGTCTGTCTCCTCCTCTGGGACTCTGACAGCCTGTGTGTCTGTCTCTGTGTCTCTTGGTCCATCTCAGGCTCAGTCTCTACCTGTCCCTCTCTGTCCCCGCCATGGGGTCTCTCCCTCTGCGCGGTCTTCAGTGGGGCGTGGGTTTCTGCACGTGTGTCCTTCCTGCTTGTTCTGCCCAGGTGTGTCTGTGTGAGCGCCTCTGTTTCGTTCTCCTTCTCCCCGTCCCTCGGTGCGTGACTCTGTTCCTCTCTGTGTCACTTTCTGTGTTTACGTGTGTGTCCACGTCTTCCTGTTCTCTCTGAGCCTGTTTCTGACTCTCCCCGCCCCCGCCCCATCTGTTTGTAGCCGCGTCTGTCCGGCACAGCAGCGGATGTGCGGGTGACTCAGGGCTGACAGGAAGCCTGTCGCCTGCCCGCTGCCCGCTGCCCGCCAGTGTGTGTGGCGCTGCAGGTGTGTGGGTGCAGGATGGGGTGGCCGCAGTGAGGAGCCCTCGACCCTCAGGTAAGCCTTTCCTAGGAGCGCCCGGAGCCCGGCCCAAGGCGGGGCCCTGAGGCTGCCCCCAACCCCACAGGGCAGCCCCCGCCTGGCCCCACTCCTGCCTTGGCGCCCCAACCTGCAGCCCTCTCCGAGCAGCCTGTTTCTGGAGCCCCATCCTCTTTTGCCTCCCCCAGCCCAGCCTGCACAGCCAGGAAGCCCCCGGGGTGGTCCTGTCACTGCAAGAGCCTGGCAAGGGGCTGCCGGGAGCCAGGAAAACAGCCACCTGGGCCATGAGCCTCAGTTTTTTCATCTGCAAAATGGGACATAACACCCCTGCCACAGGGCTGCGGGTGAGGGTGAGACTCTGCAGGCCGGTCCGTGTGCCCAGGTCTTGCCCCAGGCAGGGGGAAGCTACTGTCCCTTCCGCCCCCACCTAGCCTCTGGCCACCTGCCACTCTCCCGGGGCTCTGAGGGGCCAACTGCCGCAGGCCCTGGGGGCTCCTTGTGCCTGGCTCTGTGACAGGTGGTCTGGCTGGCAGGCCCCAGCCACCCTGCCTTCACCATCTGCATCACTGCCTGGGCCCCGTTGCCCCCTTTCCCTCCCGACAGCCCCCTCGGAGGGCCCCCGGGCAGCCTCACATGAAGCCCAATGGACAGGGCTTCCAGCTGGGGTCCACCTCTCACTTCACCGCCCTGTCTGCCTACCGCCCCACTGGGCCTCAGTTTCCCCATCCACAGCATGGGGAGGTCTGGGGGATTGGACAGGGTGGTCTCCGAGGCTCCAACGCTCAGCCTGGCCCAAACTTCCCCGAAGCCAGACCTTCGCAAACCTTGTTCAAATGGAAACTGCCCACTTCCCTTTCTGCTATTTCGGCCTGAGAACTGCCGGTGGCAGCCGCCTCGCTCCCCTCCCCGCCCAGCCCTGCCGGCCCCTTGGGGCCTTCTGGGAACACCGGGGCCTCTCCTGGGGGGCCCAGCTCCTCCCCCACCTGCTTTCAGAACCCGGGTGGGAGCGAGAGTGAGAGAGACAGAGGCAGAACTTATTCAGTTTGGGGCAGACACAAGAGTGTTTGTTAAATTTCAGTCTCCATTTTCAAAACTAGTTCATGACTTTTTCAAATTTAATATAAAAGTGGGAGAAGGCTTGTGGCATTTGTGGCCGGCCTGCATGGGCGTGGATCCTGGCTCTGTGCGTCTCTCGCTGTGTGACCCAGAACACCGTCTGCATCTCTGAGCCTCCCTTTACTCCCTTGGACAAGGGGGGCTGGGTTCGGGGGTCTCACACGTGCTGCCATGCACAGGCCACAGAGCCTGTCGCAGAGGTGCCCCATGCGTCGGCCCTGGCTCCCCTCAGGCCCTGGCCCCTCCCGGGGTCCCCACACCTTGGCCCCTGTGGCGCAGGCCTGCGTGTGTCTGGGGCCAGCCAGGCGGGCAGGCTCCGGCCAAGCTCTCCACCGTATTCACTGCGGGCCGCTCAGCCAACCCCGGACCCAGCAGGCCACCCTGCCGCCCCTTCCCACTGCTCTGGGCCTTAGGGACCTCCAGGGACAGGGCTCACGGTGGTCATGCCCAGCCAGGGCCCAGCCCTGTGCTACACACGGCATCTCGAGAAGGGATGAGTCTACCAGACAGGCCTGCCCCTCGCCCTGCGCAGCCTGGGGGGGGGGCAGGGGTCCCGCTCGTCCCAGGATGGCAGCCTCCAGGAGGCAGGAGGGCCTCTGGGTGTCGGGGCCTCTGGGCAGAGGACCGTCCACCCCGGGGAGGAGAGTGCCCTGGAAGGGTCTGGAATGTTGGGCCGAGAGCCAGCCTTGCTCCTGGGGGCTTAAGTGGACTCTGGAGTTGGCTGGTGCTGGACAACGTCTCGGCTGTCACACCTGTGTGTGACCCGCCCGTGCCTGCATCCATTTGGGGAGCAGAGTCGCTGTCCTGACCAAAGGACAGAGATGTCGAGGGTCTGTAGAGTGAGGGAGGCATCCAAACCAGCCGGCCATAAATAAGACCCCGGCAGGTCTCTCCAGGAAGAGAGTGACTGTGAGCCAGGCCGGGCCACTTATCACGCCAACCACCCTTTGAGGAAAGCACTAGACTCATTCCTATTTCATAGATGAGGAAACTGAGGCTCGGAGGCTCCCAGGCATAGGCAGGATCCGATCCCAGGAGTCCTCCCTCCAAGACCAGGTGCTCCAAGTTCACACAGACCAAGATAGCTGAGGGCTGTGGCAGAGGGGTTGGCGGGGGGCCCACCTTGGGCAGCAGGTGAGTCGGGGGAGGGGCAGGGGGAGCGGAGCTCCCTCCAGACAACATCCTGGGGTGACGTTGGTCGTGCGGGTCACAGGATCGGGGCATTCACTTGTTCCCACTGACTCACTGGCTTTTGGGGAGGGGCTTCTCTGTGACAGGCCCCGGCTGGGGATTCCTTGTCATCATCACCAGGTGGCTCAGGGGCCTGGAGAGGTTCTGAGCCTTGTCCAAGGTCACAAGGCGGGTGAGGGGGACGGTACAGGAGGCGGCAGCACGGAGCACCCCTTCTGCAGTCCTGCCTCGGCTCCCAGCCCCACCGTCCCTGGCCGTGGCATGGGGGACCTCCCCCCACTGGCCGAGGCAGGAGGACGGGCGAGCGCCGAGCAGACGCACTCCTGAGCGTCCTCAGAGACCCGTCACCCTCAGCCGTGTCCCCAGCCATCATGAGGAGGACGAGTCTCTTCACAGTTGCACCTGTTCTTGTCGGAAGCCCCCTCGAGAGGGCTGGGCTTCCGCTCCCCAGGCCAGGCCGTGCGGCTGCGTGTGGCTTCTCTGAGGCCTGGCCATCATGACCCGGCCCCCAGGAAGCTGGCCCAGTGCCAGCAGGGCTCAGGGTCCCCTCTCCCCAGATCGTCCTCTCTCCAGCCTGGCCTGTTGTCCCAGCTCATGCCCTCAGGCCACCTCCTCCAAGAAGCCTTCCCTGACTTCACAGATGGTTTAGGGATGCAAATCCCATTCCCAGGTCCCCCAGGAGGCAGAGAAAAGCCCTCAGGTGCTCTAGGTTGGTCGGGGGCACTGGGGGGTCCTGTGCAGGCAGGGACTATGGACTCTGACCTCAGGGAGTCAAGGTGGGTTCGCAGGAGGCCTGGGGCTGGGATCCTGTCTGTGCACTTAGCTGCTGTGAGCTCTCTGGCCTCAGTTTCTCAGTTTATGAAGCAGGGTGAACCCCGTGGGGTTGTCCAGATTGAGCGAGTGTGCGTGGGACCGTGCATGTGTGTGTGCGTGCGGTGCTGCGTGCGGCCCCCAGGACCTTCCAGCACTTACCAAGAGTGGCCATGGCCGGGGGTCAGGGTGGGGTCAGGGGTGCTGGTTCGGGGTCCCCGGCGGGAGCAGGGGGAAGGCGGCGCTGCTGCAGCTGAGCTGGGCTGCGGGGCCTCAGGGCACGGTGGGGTCGGGGACCTGAGCCTGGGGCGAGATCCCTGGAGGCGCAGCCCCTGCTCACCTGTGCCCCCGTCGTAGCGCTGCAGGAGGGGACGCCAGGAGCAGACATGAGCTCGGGGACCGAGCTGCTGTGGCCCGGGGTGGCGCTGCTGCTGCTGGGGGTGGCCGCCAGCCTGTGTGTGCGCTGCTCCCGCCCAGGTAAGGGGGTGCTGGGGTCGTGAGGGGGGAAGGCGGGCACGGGGTGTCCCTGAGATCCTCTTGGGGGAAGACCTGGCTGTGGTCAGAAGCAGCAGTCTGATGGGCCTGGAGAGGTGGCCCCAAGGGCGCCGGTGGCCCCAAACTGCCCCTGAATGCAGTGGGTTTGGTTCGCCCTGGGGCTTTAGCTTCGCTGGACTAAGGCAGTGTCTGGGGCCGGACCCCGTGCCCGGCACCTACATTTTCTAAGCTCTCCTCTCTTTAAAAAATGGTGAACAAATACTCTTTCAATGCCAGGTGGCCCCCCTGGTTGGGGGCTGTCTATCCACTTAGCTGCTGTGAGCTCTCTGGCCTCAGTCCTGCCTGAGGCCTGCCGAGGGCACAGGGGTGACAAGATGTGGGGGGACCCCACACAGGCCTCTGGCTCCTGGCCAGTGCTAACCCCGGCCTGTTCTTGCAGGTGCAAAGAGGTCCGAGAAAATCTATGAGCAGAGAAGTCTGTGAGTCGCCGCAGAGTCCCCAAGGGCATTCCCAGCACCCCATCCCTCGTCCCTCACCATTCCGGGGTCTGGCGGGTCCCCAGCAGTCAGGGAGGAGAGGGGCTGTCCAGGCCCTGCCACAGTCTGGGACGGGGGGGGGGGGACACCTGGGCTGTTGGGCCGGCCACTCTCCAGCGTGCCCACGAGCCCCTCAGGAGGTCCGGGCACCTGTGTCATCAGCCTCCCTCCGACCCCAGCGCAGGGACAGACGGAGGAGCATGCCCTGCCAGTGCAACGGGGCAGACAGAGACAGGGGCACAGAGTGAAATGTGAGCCTCGCCCGAGAACCCCCTGGAGACGCTCAGGAGAGGCTGTGGGCGCGTCCCATGGGGGCAGGGAGGGCCGTGGGAAGTCCCCGGGAGCGTCAGCGTGCCGGACGCTGCAGACCGGGGACGGGGGCTGGAGCCCAAGAGCAGCCCTGGGCATGACGGCAGCGGCCGCTCGTGCCCTTTGCTTCAGAGACCGAATGGCTGTGGGCCCGGAGACCCGAGACCGCCACACACGCACTTCTTACACGTGCAGCACAGCACTTGCGTGCACCCCAGGCAGGCCAGCGTGTACACACACACACACACACACACACACACTTCCTCATTTCCTTTTGCAACTGAAAAACCACAGTGAGATTTGAAAATAGATTCTTCCCATCCCTGCCCCGCCCCCACCCCACCCCAGGCCAGGGCTGGGCCTTTCTGGACTCTTTTGGCCACTTGGCCTCCTGACCTGCCCGCCAGCAAGCTCCCCAGTGCCTACTCGGGCTCCTCCCCTTCTCCCTCAGTCCCTGCCCACCAGGGCCCCTGATTGCTCTCAGAGCCACGGGCAGTCAGGGCCAGAAGGTAAATGTCCCCATGCGGGAGGTGGAACTGGAGCCTTGGATGTTCCCCTCCCTGGAATGCCTTTTCCTGCCTCTCAAGCTCTCACCTTGGTCGGTTCTATCCTGCCAGTCTGCGTGAGGCAGCTGCTATGGGCACCAGCCCAGCTTCCGCATCACCTCCTCCAGGAAGCTGTGTCTGACTGTGTCCTAAATCAGGCCGGCCTGACCCCCAGTCCCCCAGGAGCTCCTGGAAGGCTAGGCCAGGTACCCATTCTGGCCCAGAGAGGAGCCCAAAACCTTTAATGATCAGCTGATCAGCTCCGCCATCTCTAATGGCATCTTCCATTCCCAAGAACACTTCATGGCTCAAGATGGCAGCTGGAGCTCCAGCCCTCATCTCAGCATTTCAAGCAGCAGGGAGAAAGAAGGGATAAGGATACAAAGGGTGTACCCGAGTTGGCAGTGCCCCCCTTTAAGGAGATTTCTTACAAACATCAACAACCCTGGTTTGCATTTCATGGATCAGAGTTTAATCACATGGCCATGCTTAGGTGTAAGGAAGGCTAGGAAATATAGGCTCTAGATGGGCACGGGGCTGCCTAAGTGAAAATCAGGGGTCTGTCTCAAAGGGAGAGGGACAGCCCAAGGGACGGCAAGGTCCCTTGCTGAGCCTGCTAAGCCGAGTTGTCTCACCAGTTACTTGGCACTTTCCCCATCCTGGCGGGTGTGCTCTGCTAGGAATGGCAAACTCTCCCGGGGCAGGAGGTGGGGGGGCAGTCTCTGTCATTCCTGGCTGAAATCATTTGCCCCAAGTCACTCCTGGGTCCCTGAGCAGCTGCCTCCACCCCAGAATCTCAGGGCCACCTCCCCAGTGTTAGCTACAGACCCTGACAGCTCTGGGGTTGGGGTCCCAGCAGCACATGCCCAGTTGAGGCTGTGGGGGATGGGTCTGGCTGCAGCCCAGGGCCCCGTGTGAGGGGTGGGCTCAGTCGGGGCCGTCCAGGGAATGGGGACACCAGGGGGACTGTGAGCCTGAGGCTTGGAGGGGCAGTTCCTCCTGGCTACGGCCCTGGTCTGTCCCTCCTCTTGTTCCTCGCCCCTCTCTGTCCCTCTCTCCTGCCCCTGTGTCCCCTGGGCTGTGAGGGGCCAGGACCTGGCTCAGCACAGCCCGTGTGTTCCCAGGCAAGAGAGCCGGCGGAGCTTTGCGGTGGCCCAGACCTACTCCTGTGAGTCCGCAGGGTCCAGGGGCTGGGCTCAGGGCTGGGAGTGTCCCTGTCAAGGTCCCTTCTTTCCCCACCGCCCCGACACCATGGCCAGGCCTGGTCTGGTGAGGGGAAGGGGTGAGGGGGCTGGGCTGGCCGGGCTGGCCTGGGGGCCCAGCCGACACCCCCTTGCCCTTCGCAGTGGTTGGGCATCCGTGGCCGGGGCCCCTGGTGGACACAGTCTCTGACGCGGCACACACGAGGTAGGAGTGGGCTCCCCGTCTTGGGCCCCAAGGGGGTCGCAGCCCCACAGGGAGCCATGAGAAGGAGGGCATGGGGGGGGCCTACCTGGCTGAGCCCAGGCCAAGACCTTGCTCCCTCCCCAGACCCCAGGGCCGCTCCCGGGGGCGGGGGATGTGGTCTGGGCCTCAGAGCCCGGGAGCCCTGGGGCCTCTCCCTCCTTCAGCCCCCACCTACCGCACCCCTGCAGGAAGGAGAAGCTGCTGCAGTTCTCTCCCGACCTGGAGGGTGAGTGATGAGAGGAGGCAGGGGCGGGGCCAGCTCGGGTGGGACTAAGGTGAGCACCTGGTGGTACAGGCGCTGCGGAGGGGGGTCCTCCGAGGTCAGGAGAGACCCACAAGCTGGGCTGGGTGGGCTCATGGGCGGGGGGTGCCCTCACACACACACAGCCCCCACCGAGAGGACAGGGAGCACCTGCAAGGTGGGAACGCTGGGGACACCCAGCCCACCCTTGGGCTGCCAGAGCCCAAGCCGGATGGGAGGCAGGCAGTGGAGGGGAGCAACGAGCCTGGCCTCTCTTCCAGATCCCGCGTCCTGCAGGTACCAGAACTTCCGCAAAGGTAGGTGGGCTTCCAGGTGGGGTGGGGGTCTGGGGGTGGCCACAGCGCGGGAGCTCAGGCCTAATTCTTGCCTCGCCCTGCAGGAAGCAGACACGGATCGGATACAGGCTACATGTGAGGGGCCTTGTCCCGGCCCTGGCCGCCCTCTGTGCCCCCTGACCTCTGCTTCCTGGTCTAGGAACTGCCATCTGCCCAGAACCCAGCCCCTGGGGGTCCCAGCGGGAGCATGACCATGGCTTTGTGGGATCAGGACATGGCCCCGCTCTGGGGGTGGGGTTGTTGGGTGGGTGAGACCCATCCTGTGTCACCCAAACATGCGCTGCAGGAAGGGTTGGTCACCTGGCTCACAGATGGGCAAACCCTGGCCCAGGACAGGAGGGGACTGGCCTAAGGTCACACAGCAGGGTGGCCAGAGCCAGGCTACCCTCTCCAGCCCCCAGGGCTTGGGAGTGCAGGGAAGTGTGGGTGAAGGGATGACAGGTGACCCTGGCAGAGCCTCCTGGGCCCCCTGGCAAATGATGGCCAGAGCAGCCCTAGCCTCACTATCCCCCTAAGGGTCCCCACCCTGACCTTGGGCCTGCCCCGCAACCTGCGCTGTGTCTGTTCTCTCGGCTAGAGACCCCATTGCCAGGTGCTATTACGACCGGGAGCGGTTCCCCAAGCCCTCGGAAGGTGAGCGGGTGGGCTGGGAGGAAGTGGCGTGGCAGCTCGGCCGCAGGGTGGTTGCCACCAGCGTGGGAGGTGTGGGCGGAGGCGCTGGGAGGGTGGACTGGGCCACAGGGGAGGGACCCAGAGGGGCAGCTGGGGGTGGATGAGGGAGGACAGGCAGCCCCTGACGAGCACGGATGGGAGACCCTGGAAGGCCCTGGCCGGGGCAACCTTGCTGATGGGCGCCGCGCCCTGCAGGCTCTGAACACCTTTGCTCTGTAGAAAGAGGAACTGAAGACCGAGGGGGGCGGTGCCTGCTGAGGGGTGCAGGGACCTGGCTCCTGCCTGGGCCATGCTGGGGCAGGTGTCGGGAGGTCCTCGCCCACCCCGGCCACTTCTGAACTGGGGGGCTCATTTCTTGGAGCCCCTTTGTCACAGATGGACCGCTGGGTGAGGGCAGTGTCAGAGCTCACCTTCCCCAGTGCAGGGAGGTGCCGGGGTGCCAGGCTCTGAGGGGCCACACCCGGCCTGGGTCCCTGAGCAGAGTGCTCCCCAGCCTGCCCACCCTGTCTGGGGGAGTCCAGCCCCCTCCGTGACGGCCCCCTCCCCAGTGCTTTCAGATGGGACCTCAGAGGACAGAGATGGAGCCCAGGGTGGAGCCTGTGGGGGCCAGGCCAGCGCCCATTAGGAAGCTTGTCCAGAGAAGGCTCGTGGCCCTGGGGGACCCCGAGGGCTGGGGCTTGGCGGGACAGGTCGTCTGCAAAGGGAGGGCAGGACGGAGGAGGGAGGACGAGCCAGGCCATCCTGCAGGGCCCACCCGCACCCCGTGCCCTCTCCCCTCTCCTTGGCAGACGACGACGACACCAATTCCTACGAGAACGTGCTCATCTGCAAGCCCAGGACCTCAGGTGAGGCCGCGCAGCTTGGGCCCAAAGGTTCTCCCGCATCTGCTATCTCTGGTGCCTTTGGGTGACGAGGCGCCCCTGGTGTCCTGGGAGGAGCCCCATCAGCTCCTGGCCGCAGTGGGAGTGAGTTGAGGGTGTCCACCTGGCATGATGGTGGCCTCTGCAGAGGGGAGCCGCCGCCACTCCTCGCTGGCCCTGGGGACTGGCCGGTGGCCGCCCCTCCTCCAATCCCTGTCTCTGTGCTCTTCCGCAGACAATGAGGAGTGTGAGGATTATCAGAACTCGGCATCCATCCGCCAGTGGCGCGAGTCCAGGAGGGCCGTGGGTAGGTGGCTGCGGGCGGGCCACTGCAGCAGGCTCGGTGGGCAGGCGGGTGGGCTTCCCTCCAGCAGGGCCGGCTGCTCCTGCAGCGGAGCCCCTGTGCACCGGCAGCTGCAGAGGCCTCCAGCCTTGCCGGGGCTCCCTCAGCCGTCACCTCGGCCTCCTGGGCACTTCCCGCTGGCTGCTTTGTGCGGTCTGAGGGTCCGAGCCCCGGTGTCCCACTAGGGGAACAGTGGCAGGTGTGTCCCTGTGAACCCTCCGCAGAGCACGTCTGGCGAGAAGCACCGCCCTCCCCGGGAAGCCCAGAGGAGGACGGGGAACCGGATTACGTGAATGGGGATGTGGCCGGGGAAGCCTAGGAAAGGCCGGAAGGAAGGTACAGTCCTCGCTCTCCTGCTGCCTCGGGTACCCAATCCACGGGAGGAGCAGGGTGCACCAGGTGCCACCTGGCCAGGGGTGGCGACACTGGGGGCTGGGGCTGGGGAGGGCAGAGGTCCCAGAGCGTTTCGAAGGAGGAATCGATGGGTGTGGCGAGGCCGAGGTGAGGGCTGCGAGTCTGCATCGCTGTTGGATCTGGGCGGTACTGGCGAGCAGGTTTGGTAGGGAAAGCTGGGGGTTTGTTTTGGACGTGTTAAGTTCAAGATGGCCATCCAGGTGGGGTAGGACACGGGCAGGGAGATATCTGAGCCCAAACTCGGGAGAGGGTCAGGTTAGAGATACAGCTGGGCACTGCCACCACACAGATGGTCCACAGTCCCCGAGGGAGGGAGCAGAGGACCCAGCTGAGCCGGGGCCCCTCCCAAGCCCGAAGCAGGACAAGCACCAGTGACAGGGCTCAGGGAGGGTGTAGCCAAGCACAGAAGGTGGTGGTGATGACAGAGCTGAGTGCAGGTGGACATCGGTCACAAGGGCAGTTTTGGTGACATGGTGGGAAGAAGGTCTGTGTGCAAAGACAGTGGTACAGATACTTCTTCAAGAAGTTTCACTTTAGAGGGGAGCAGAGGAAGTAGGGCAGGAGCTGGGGGATTGCAAAGGTTTTTAGATGACAGCATGGGGACGGAAAAGCTGCAGGGGGGAGTGCTGGGCTGGGCAGTGGCTGATGAGACCTATCTAGCTAGATGCTATCGGGCACAGAGGAGGCGTGGACACTGCAGCCCGCATTCGCAGTGGGCTGACAAAAGGCTGTAGTGGCCCAATCCATCGCCGGGTTCTAGTGAGTCAGGGCGGAAGGGAGTTGACTCAGGGCCTGACGCAACTTTCCGAGTGTGGGGCGAGGACCGATCTGGGGGGGTAAGCGCGGGCCCAGGACCTGTCCAGGAGAAGGCTGCCGGCCACTCTGCAGAGGGCATCCCAGCTCTGAAGGCCGGTGGCTAGGACCGCCCCAGCCTCCGCCTGGGATCAGGATTTAAGAAACCCAGCTGAGGCTGCTTGGTGGGCGGGTTCTGATCGCCCCGAGGCAGGAGGGCAGCTGAGTGCAGACCCCAAAGAGCCACTCTGGTCCCGAGGGAACGAAATACTGGCCAAGGCAAACTTTTCCTTTTAACAAACTCTTTTCCTCTCCACTGCAGGCGCCAAGGCGAGGCAGCTGGAGTACCACTGAGCTTGTGGACCTGCCGGTTGCCTCCTGAGGATGGCTTTCCAGAGCTGCTCAACTTTTAGGCCCCTGCATGGCTGCACCTAGAAGGGATACTGACATCTCCTAAGGACCACCTGGCCACAGGGTGCAGCCTGGGGAGGGGCAGTTACTCGTAGGACTGCCAAAAATACACCCCCCACTCCCAACTGAGGCTTCCTTGGACAGGTGCCAGGGGTGACCCAGTTGCCACCATGGTGGATGCCCAGGATTTAGGGCGAGCTGCAGCCCTGTCCCCGTGTCTAAAACATTGTCTGACACTGGTAGCTATGTCCTTTTTGCTTTGGATTTGGATTCCAAGTTGATAGTTGCTGGGATTTTATGATCTATAATCTTGTACAGTTAATTTATATAGGTGGAGCCATATTTAATATTCTGAACTTCTGGGTAGAGACTTACCTTACAAAGCATTACCTGTGGTTACCCTCAGCATCCTGGCTAGGCGGGGCCCTGGCTCTCCCTCTGTCCTTGAATGGGGACCTCGCCTTTCTTTGGGCCTCGGTTCACTCAGGAAGAAATGAGGCTACAGCCACCCTGTGACCCTTCCGTGGAAATGGCATCTGCCATGGACCACAGTGCATCAGTCTGGAGCAGTGTGGTCAGGACCTCGGCCAGAGGCCCCTCAGCAGCAGTGCAGCCCCTCACTGGCCGGCATCCTCCTCTGCCCAGGGGGCCTCAGCTAAGGGGGAGCAGGGGACCCGAGGGGAACTTCTGAGTCAGAAACTCAGCCAGGGAAACATGCCTCCTCCAACCCAAACATCTCAATAAACCACTTTAGTTTAAGAGCCTCACTTCTCCTGGGTCTGCTTCAGGTAAAAAACCTTTTGAGGGAATGAAGTGAAGCCTCTTATTGAAGAGAAGGGGACCCTGAGGCCAGAGGGAGGCAGGCCCGAGCGCAGCCCTCCTCCCAGGACACCCACACCGACTGGTCCCATGAGAAGAGATCACACCATAAGTTAGGAAATTAGAGGAAGCCTCTGGAACCCAACTCTTGGCCACTGTCACTTCACACCTTGAAGTCCTGACCTCACAAGCTCAGAGACAAGCGCCTGTACCGTGAGCTCAGGGCTGAGGGGAGGTGCAGGGCTGTGGGGACTCCAGCACTGGAGAGAAGACACCAGGGGAGTCTTGCCTCTGCTGTCTCCCGCCTCGGGAACCAGGTGGCTCTCTGGGCCCACTGTCCTTACCTGCAAATTGGGGATATAATCAACCCTTCACCTCCCAGGCATTATGAGGTCCCAGGTATTAAGTAACATTGGGAAGGTATGTGCTATGCCTTCGTTTTTAAGGGCTATAATTATTTTTAATTCCCTGCCACCCTTAACAGAAACCTTAACCCAAAAAGCCAGTAACCTTGGTGCCTTTCCCATGTCTGTTTAGTGTCACCACTCAAATGTGGCCTGGGTGGGGGACTGATGTTGCTTGGGAGAGCCTGCTCCAGCTGCTCCCTGTTCAGACCAGGACACGGGAGCTGTCTGGGACCCACCCATAACGAGGATGAGACGGGCACAGGCCCTGTCCACCTGCCGGGACACACGGAACCACCCCTGCTGCCCTTCATCCAGGAGCCCACAGGACACAGTGTGTTTCCATCAAAGCTTGCCATAGAAGACCACTACGCACAGCAGTCTCCCCCGCCCCATGAAAGACACCATCCTAAAACAATGCCTGGGGTTGGCTTCACAAGAAACTGGGGGTGAGGCTGGTGGTAGGTGGTGACCCTGCGTAGATTATCTACGTAGTGTTATCTACCCCAGCGTAGATAACACTGGGCGAGTTGACAATGAATTCGTGAAGCTTCACTGTGTTATTCTCTCTACTCTGAAATTTTTCATAATTAAAAGAAAATGGAAAAAAATAGTACCTTGCAAAAAAAAAAGGTAATTCTACAAATTAATATAAAGTTCACTGGGAAATTCTGAAGCAAGGAGTACACACGACTACAAGGGAAAGAGGACGCAGCAGTTTTCCTGAGGCCATGGGTCGCGCACCCCACTCCACGAAGTGGCCCTCAGCAAGCCCTCCTGAAGGGCGTGGTGGCCGGTGTTCTGAGAAGTCTGTCTAAACTGTCAGGACGTGACAGCAAACCCTGCCCTCACACCATGGAACCCGACCCTTGAGGCTTCTAGAAAAATTGAGATTAGCTCCTAAAAAAACTGAGATTATCTTGTCCAGTCTGTCATCTAATAGCTGTTTCCACTTGAAGGATGCTGGGGGCAGGCAGAGACAGGAAGCTAGTTTTCCTCGAGGCCTCATGTGGTCATTTGTGGTCATGTGGCCCACAAATGCTGCAAGACTTTATTAGCTAAAATGTCAACCCACACACACAGATCAGGGGCCCTGCCCCTGAGCTTCTCTGAGGCCTTTCCACCCTGTTGCTGCTTGGAGGAGTCTGAGACGAAGGCAAAAAGACATGCGTGGAGCGGAGGTAAGCTAGAGTTTAAAGCCCGGCGCGTACTGGCCCCGTCTGAGGTGGCATCTCCTCCCACCCCAATCAGAAGGCCGTGACTCCTGTATTTCAAGGACTCTCGTAACTCAGTCAGTGAAGTCTCTGCTCTAACTGGCCACTGGCGCCATTGTCTTCTGACACAGCCTGGCCAGGAGCCCTGCCATCTGCAGGAGGGAGTTCACTCCTTCTGCGACTTTCATGTGAGTATATCCAATTTCCTGAAAAACAAACCAAGTTTAAATCTGGTTAATAAGTGAGAGGGTTATTCGTAAAATCTGAATTAGTCGTGTGCTTAAAAGTGATACAACAAACTTAAACTCCAGTTGGAAAATGAACACTAAAATGTAATGGATCATGACTAAAGTTCAATTTATTTCCTAAAAGGATGCTGACATTTCTTTGAAAGATAGCATTAAGAGGGCCAGGCTAGGTGGTTCATGCCTGTAACCCTAGCACTCTGGGAGGTGGTAGCAGGAGCACTGCTTGAGGCCAGGAGTTCAAGACCACCCTGAGCAAGATTGAGACCCCATTTCTATTAAAAAGTATAGAAAAAGTAGTCCCAGTTACTTGGGAGGCTGAGGCAGGAGGATCACTTGAACCCAGGAGTTTAAGGTTTTAGTGAGCTATGATGACGCCACCGCACTCTAGCCAGGGTGATAGTGCAAGACTCTGACTCAAAAAAAAAAAAAAAAAGATAGCATTAAGAAAATGCAAAAAAAAAGCCAGGCTGGGGGAAAATACTTATAAAACATATCTGAATATCTGATAAAGGATTTGCATCTAGAATATATAAAGAATTCTCAAAACTCAGTAATAAGAAAGAACTCAACTAAAAAATGGGTAGATTTGAACAAATGATTCATCAAAGATTATGAATGGCAAATGAGAAAAAATGCTGGACATCACTGGTTATTAGGGAGATGCAAATTAAAGCCACAACGAGATACCATTACACACCTGCTAGGATGGTTTAAAAAACCCAGCTGAATATGTCACATGTGGCTAGCATGTGGGTCATCTGAAATGCTGGGAGGAATGGCAAAACACTACAGCCACTATGGAAACAGTTTGGACAGTTTCTTACAAAGTTAAGCATATACATATTTGATGAAGCAATCTTATCCCTGAAAAGGAAGTCACTCAAGAAAAATGAAAACCTATGTTCGCATTCACACTACACAGGGGGTGCCCTGTGACACCCCCTGGCCGCTGGGGAAAACTGGCAGGTGAAGTTTTCTGCAGCGACCACTGTGTCTTGGTTGCAGTGGTGTTTATGTGACTGAGTGCTTTCGTCAACAGAAAGTACCTAAAAGGCTAAATTTTACTCTATGTAAATTACACCCCAATTAATCTGACCTTAAAAATAAATAGCTACTCTGGTTGCTGAAAGAAATTGGTGAACAGACTCTCACCCCAGGCAATAGGCCACCCTTCCTCCTGCCACGGAAGTCGGGGAACACCCAGTGAGCACCTTCTAGGCGCTAGGCCCATGAGCAAAGCAAAACCACACCACGGCCCACATTCTTGAGGACAGAGGCATTTTTGTATTCTCACTGACCTTAATAAACTCCAGTTTCAAGTATTCTGCCATTTGGAAAGTTTTACACACCCGAAAAATGTTGCCAATGACATCTTCCGGTGAGTAGCCCAGATGCCACAGGTGAGCAAGAATCTAGAAAAAGATACAATGAGGCTGTTGAACTCTTTAAACTACAAAGACCATAGGGAAATGAAGTCCCACCCACACGGCCTTGGCCTGTCACACTGCTGGGAGCAGACAGCTTGTCCCAGGTGACTCGTGATTTTGAGAATCGCAGTAGCTGGAGGGACACACTCTTCAGATGCGTGGGGTAATTTAACTGACTGCTGGCAGGGAGAGACAACTTTATGTATTTAAAATAGTACTGCAAGATGGTCTACTACCATGTCCATGTAGTATCTTTATCCAGAGTTCTTAAAACACTCTACTAATCCGAGGACTAGGTACTACAGAGCAGAGAAACACAGCCATTCACCTGCCAGTTTCCCCAGCGGCCAGGTCACAGGGCACCCCCTGCAGGACTAGCCCTGAGCACGCCCCGACCAGGGCAGCGCAGACCGCAGTGGTCACCACCACCCACCCCACCCGCCCTGGCCAGAGCGCAGGTCTGAAGCAGTCCTTGTCTTTGCTTTGATATCATGGGTGAGTTCAGGGGCTGGGAAGCTATGTCGTAAATCTGAAGGCTTCTTTCAGGCCCACTCAGGGACCCAGCCTGGCCTCTCTGCCTCAGTCTCCCTGCCTTGCACACTCTCATGGCACAACAGGTCAAACCCTGCCCTAAATCCAGTCACCTTCCAGCCTAGTCAGCTGGGGGCCAAGGGAGAGAAACCTGTCAGACCAAATGGCCTTGAATCACACCACTGCCACCCACGTGAGCTGAGGTCACCTGAACCCCAGTCACACCTACTGGCATCTGCTCACAGGACCAGGCCCCATAATCAGGCTAGAACCCTCCTGCCCCTCCACTCCTGGCTGAGCAGCAACTGCTGGGTCCCAGAATGGCCATCCCCATGTTCCTGTGGAGGGTGGATGGGGACACCTCCCCCCACCAGAGGGAAGATGGCTTCACTGGGAAGGCAGTTGGGACAGTCTTCCCTCACGACTTAGGTTGACAAATTTCTCTTGCAGAAGATATAATTATAGCAGAAAGATAGAATTTGAATTCCAGGTCTACTGCTTCCAAACTGATTTAGGGCAAGGATTTCAGCCTCTCTAAATTGCGGTTTTCCCATCTGTAAGGTGCACTCAACTCCTAGCACAATTTTAAGCATTAATTGGAACAATTCGCATACAGTCCCGGGCACCGCGGGCTCCCTCTGCCCCGCTCAAGAGGCGGAAGGCTCCTCCCGAATGAGGAAGGGGGAGGGCCGACCTTGTAGGCCTCGTCGATGTTGGCGTCCACACAGTGCTGGATCATCTCCTTCACGAGCAGGGGATGGGGCTCATCGCAGACCTGGGCAAACCGAAGAGAGGGGGTCAGGGCTGGGAGGTACCAGCTGGGGAGGCCCCCACCAACCGACTTCTCTGCTGGCTGTTACCATAGAAGTCTCAGCACCCAGAACAAGGTTTGGGAATGTCCTTCTCACCACCAAAGAAGTCACCAAATAGAAACACTTCTGACATCATGATCGCAAATTTCTCAAACAGAACAAGTAACAATAGGCCAGGCATGGTGGCTCACGCCTGTAATCCTAGCACTTTGGGAGGCCGAGGAGGGCGGATTGCTCAAGGTCAGGAGTTCGAAACCAGCCTGAGCGAGACCCTGTCTCTACCAAAAACAGAAATAAATTAATTGACCAACTAAAAATATATATACAAAAAATTAGCCGGGCATGGTGGCGCATGCCTGTAGTCCCAGCTACTCGGGAGGCTGAGGCAGTAGGATCACTGAGCCCCGGAGATTGAGGTTGCTGTGAGCCAGGCTAATGCCACGGCACTCACTCTAGCCTAGGCAACAAAGTGAGACTCTGTCTCAAAAAAAAACAAGTAACAATAAAGCAAACAAGGGCCAATAAACAATCTTCACTCGGGAGCAGTGTTAAAGCCACCAGTCACCTGTCTTATATCACTTGGCAGGGTGGAGTGGGGGTGGGGTGTTATCTGCCCAAAACCACTTGGAACCCACTTTAGAACTGGGAGGTCATTTGGGCCAATCCCCGCCATACCCCCACCCTGGAGCAGGAACTGGTTTTCCCTTTCCCTGTAAAGAGCCCTCCAGCCAGTGTGACCTCATGAAGAGGGGTCCGGCTACCCCAACAGGCAGGGGGGTGGTGCTGGGGGCTCAGCCCGCCCGGAGCCCACAGCTGCCTCCCTGCAGCACCCCCCACTGGCCGTAGGTTCTGCCCTCCAGTGCACATCGGCCTCAGCCTTCTCCTGTCGCCAGATGGCACCCACGCCGCCCTGGTCTCTCCTCCCTGCAGAAGCCCCCAATGCCCACTCATGACAAAACAGGACTTGAACTACCACTACCGCTTACTGAGCAGGTTTCCCTTTCCTACGTGCCCTTGAAAATACGTTCACTGCCAAGGTCTGTACAAACCTGGTAAGAAAGAGCTACAAACTGAAAGCTTGAACAGCCCTGCCCAACTTCTACGCCCAAAAAGGGGGAAACCAGTTTCCAAGATGGCTTTAGACACTGAGTTGTCAGGATGTGGCAAAGTTTTCAAAAGAATTCCCAAAAGTAAAATGCTTCCTTGATGTGGGCAGGGAAGAGCCTTATTTCTTCGGCCTGGCTCTGCGGAGGACTGTCCCCACCCGCAGGGCAGAAGGGGGTAAGCAGGCACGGCACTGCAGAAGCAGCCCAGGGCGTGGGCTCAGAAGGCTGCTGAGGGGAACGCACGGCACTGCTCCCTGCCCCTCAGGGGCTGCGTGGCCTGTGATAGCCACCGGAGCCCATCTCCACCCCCACAGAGAGATGGGAGGAACCTCTCTGTGCAGGAAAGTGCGGAGCCAAGACAGACGTGTCCAAAAGTGCCCGGCTCCGCACCTCATCCACCAGCGGCCGCCCAGCATCCACACACACGTCCCATGGTCCCTCCCAACTCTCCAGCATGAGAAGCAAAAGCAGCGACAGGGAAAGGAAAATGGGGACAGGACAAGTCCCCCAGCACCAGCCCCCCGAAGGCAGGCCCAACCCCACGCCAGGCCCAAGTGTCCATCCTGCCTGCCAGCACAGCCCACGTCACCCCGCCGGCCACAGCAGGAGGACACTGCTTTTGCTGACGGTGGCACCCACTGCAGCTTCCGTACCTTGAACACATTCTCGCTGTTAATGAAGCCAAATCCCGAGAAGGTGGACTGCAAGTTGTTCAGTGCCTGAGGGGCAACAAAAACACGTTAAGGGTGGTTTTTAAATCGTTGCCTTCCTGCCTCTCTTCTTGGAGTCCAGGAAGGCAGCCCATGGGTCAGGAGGGCGCTGGGTCCGTGCCCTCCACCCTGGCGTCTCTGCAGCAGTCGCCTCCCTCCTGCCCCCATGTAAGGGGCAGGAGGGCAGGCCCAGGAGGCCTGTGTCTAGATGGCAGTGACCCACCTACCTGCCTCATGTCTCCCTGCGCTGTGAAGATGATGGCTTCCAGGCCGTCGTCAGTATACGGCACATTCTCCTTCTCGATGACGTTCAGCAGCCGCGCCAGGATCTGGGCGTCGGTCAGCTTGGTGTAGCGCAGGACGGCGCACCGGGACTGGATGGGCTCTGGACGAGACAGAGGGCAGTGAGGCTCCCCTGGCAGGAGCCAGCATCAACCTGTCGGCACTCTGGTCACTAGAGTGCAGCTGCACGATCCACGTGGAATAGCCACGCTGGCAGTGTCACTCTTCCCGGTCAGCATGTGCTCAAGAGAGACTTGGTACAAATGGCTAAATGTCAAAGTATCACCTGACAAGCCATCACAGAGGCCTCAGCGGGCACAGGAAGACCTTGCCTAGCCACGGATTCCAGAAGGGGAAATGATCCTCTAGGACACACATGTCCATGTGCCACGAGCCCTCAGCTGAGTCAGCCCTGACCCAGGTGGGCTCTGGAATCACGACGCACGCTGGACACTAGGCCCTTCTGGGCAGGTCCGAATGCATCAGGCTGGGTGGGAATGGACAGCTGCAGTCTCCTTAAAACTCCACAGAAGGTTCTGACTCACAACAGGGCTGAGAACCACCAGATGGACAAATGCAGAGCTCTGGAACTCTCCACCGCCTTTGCCTTAGGCTACAATAACTTCGCCATGATGTCCAACCACAAATGTGGTCCTCTCTCAGATCCTTCCTCTGCACTGCTGCCCACGCTGACCTTTGTACAATGTTCTCATCTGTCACCTATTCCTGCGAGGCAAACCCTTCGACAGTCCCCTCACACTAACTCCCCAATAGTCTGACTCTCCTGCTCTGCAAAATCTCCTGCGCCCTCGTCCTCCTGCCTCTCCTTCACCAGTGTCTGGCACCCTGTCTCCCTGCAACACACTGACTCTGCCCTCTCCTGGCGGGCTCTTCCCAGCGAGGATGCCCTCTCAATTTCTCCCCATTTAAACCACAACCATCTTTTGGCTCCTCACAAACCCACCTCCTCACGGGGCCAGCCCTGATCACCCAGGCTGAAGCGACCCTGATCCTTTGTTCTCACGCACCATTTGAAAGAACACATACTCCTGTTAATCTATTTGCAGAAAGTGAGCCAGGCCCCTCCCTAGGAGCTGGGGATGTGGATGAACATCTAGACAGGGCTCTGGCCCCAGGGCACAGGTTCACCAGGACAGGAAGAGGCACTATGCACAGCAACTGTGCACGGAGAGGGTCCGGGCCAGTTCTGGCACCTAGGCCAGAGAAGACAACTTGGCCTGGGGAGACGGACAGCAGACCCAAGTTCTGAGCTGGGCCTTTAAGGATGAGGTTTTCCAGGCTGGAAGGGCAGGAGGAACAGCACAAAGGCGAGAGTGAGGAAAGGGCAAAGAGGTTCAGGGGCTGGTAGGCACCATAAGGCCACAGTGCTTGGAATGAGAGGAGACAGCGGGCAGATGGCATCCCATGGAACAAGCTGGGGAGTGACACAGCTGTGCAGGCAACGGGAAGCCACTGGAGGGTTAAGCAAGGAACTGGCAGGCTCAGGCTGGTCTTAGACAACCTTGGCAGCTGTTTGGTGACTCAAACAGGAGAAAAGCCGAGAACAATGCACCCATCAAGGGGACACAGGGTGAAGCCACAGAGCTGGGGCAGGGGAAGGAAGGGTGGGGATCCAGTTACCACTGAGGGGGGACAACCTTGGATTTGATTTTGGCGAGGGGATGGCTGTGGGCTGTGGTGGTGGGCAGATAGAGGGGGACTTAGGGTGACTCAGAGCTGGCTGGTTCAGGGCTCCACCTCTGTTATTCGTACATGAGCTCCCGCAAGGCTGGGACTGAGCCTCAGACAGGCCTGCAACCTCCACTATACACAGGAGGTGTAAGTACATGTGCCCTGCGCGTGGCAGGTGCTTTCTATATCAAACATGCTCAATATTTGCTGCAGGGATGAAACTTTTAAAAGAGCAGCTTGCCTCAGAGTGAGTTAGTTCAACTTATCTGAAATCAGGAAGTTTCGCAACTGAAACTCATTTACGTATTTATTTACATTAAGCTTAGAAGCTGGAGTTGTATCTAAAAGCAATTAATATTCAAACTACATTGGAAGTTTCCTTTAGTAGATTTTTCTCTTTTGAGAAGCACCAAAGCTTACTCTGCAGAAAATAAGAGTCAGAATTGGGCACACGGCCTTGCTCTAGGAAGGTTTACCTCCCACTTAACTGGTGTGACTCTAGTTTCAAAAATCAACTCTGCAGCAACCAGCTCATGAAGCGTTTCCTCTAAAGAGAAGAAACAAACTTCTTTAAGGATTTTGCTTATATGTTTGCCATATCCCTTTAGAAAATAAAAATAATTCAGAATGCTGAGTATATCTAAAAACATTTCATAAAAATGGAAAGTTTTTTCTCCATCAACAACTGCAGTTTCAAATCACTGAACAAAGGCATACACACACCGCCCTCTGCCAGCTGCATTCTGCGATGAGGGAGGTCTGTGTCACTGCTCCTGGCCTCCAACATTGGTCTTCTAGTGTTTAAGGAGTGAGCTACGTACACATCCATACATGAAGCACTTTCAATGCATTTTTCTCCAGTAAGTGAGCCACAGGCATCTTGAAGGCAGAGAACAGTTCTCATTGAACTCCTCAAGTTCAGCACCAGGGCGGTGCCTGAACATCTACTGAGAACAGGGTAAGTGTTTGGTGGTGGACGAATAAATTAATGAACAAACACATGGCTATCTGGGGGAGGGAAAAGAACATAAAGGATTCCCAGCAACACTGAGAGCCCCGCCAAGGCTGGAAACCGTGACCTTGTGGGGGCATCACGCCTGCTAACGTGCTTGTCCGCAACAGCACTCGGCGGCCCGTGGGGTGGGAGGAGTCGCTCAGATGAGCTCACACAGCTGGGGATCAGGGCAGAAGTGAGGCGACAGGACAAGAGCAAAACAGCTGGGCTGTGAAACCAGCAGGAAGCTACAGACGGGACCTGGGCTCAAAGCAGTGAGGAAGCAGATGACCAAGGTAGGAAGGGAGCTGAAAGGACAAGCACTGAGGTTGGGGAGGAGACCGTAAGATTTTGTTCTTTCTTTTGTTTTGTCCTAACCTGATGAGGAATTCTTTTTTCTGATACTGTAAGATTTCAAAAGTGAGGCAGGCCAGGCGCGGTGGCTCACACCTGTAAATCCTACACCTGGAGTGAGCAGCAATCGTCTAGCTCAGGAGTTCCAGCCCAGCCTGAGTAAGAGTGAGACCCTGTCTCTACCAAAAACAACAAAAAAAATTAGCTGGGCGTGGTGGCGCATGCCTGTAGTACCAGCTACTCGGGAGGCTGAGGCAGAAAGATCGCTTAAACCCAGGAGTTTGAGGTTGCTGTGAGCTAGGCTGATGCCACGGCACTCTACCCTGGGCAACAGAGTAAGACTCTGTCTCAAAAAAAAAAAAAAAAGTGAGGCAATTCCTAGTGATAACAAAGCCCGACATGTAGACACCATCTATGCCAAGTGCTCAGAGCAAACAGAGAGTACAAGTGGATACATAAAGAGCAGCAGCTCTCACCTGGGGTTCCAATCCCAGCTCCTGCACTTGCTGTGTGACTTTGAGCAAACTGCTCAACCTCTCTGAGCTCCAATTTGCTCATTTCAAAAGTAAAGCTAAGGCCGGGTGCGGTGGCTCACGCCTGTAATCCTAGAACTCTGGGAGGCCGAGGCGGGCGATGCCACAGATCAAGTTAAACCAGCCTGAGCGAGACCCGTCTCTACATAAAAAAAATAAATAATTATGGCCAACTAATATATACTGTATAGTAATATATAGTATACAACAGCCGGCATGGTGCTCCTGTAGCTCCCGCAGCTACTCGGAGCTGAGGCCAGAGATCGCTTGAGCCCAGGAGTTTGAGGTTGCTGTGACTAAGGCTGACGCCACGCAACCACCTACCCTAGGCAAGAAACGAGACTCTGTCTCAAAAAAAAAAAAGTAAACATAATACTCCTCAGTTAATACATTGCAAAACATATATAATGATAATACATCAATTTTATTTGTCAATAAAAAATTAAATTAAAACAAATTGTTATGCAGTGTGGCCTGTGGTAGGCAATCAAAAAGTCCTGTCTGATGCTAAAGAGCCAAGGTGAGCACCAAGTGGACCCAGCCTCCCAGAGCTCACACTCACCTATGATTTTATCAAAGCATTACAAGCAAGGCAAAGCGAGTCGTCTTAGAATAGATTTCCATGGTCTCCTTCAAGGCTTGCTGCCCCATCAGTCATGCTGGAAACACACAAGGATTCAGTTGCAATTGGGCCACTGGACACAAATCCTTCCCATCACGAAAACCCAGCACATAGGATAGTATCCTAGATGGCTCATAAGTAAAGCAGCCACCTCACCAAATGCTAACCCCCACCCCAAGCCACTCTCTCAAAAGACTGCCCAGATGATATTTAGTACTACAACAACCAGAACAACCCTAAAACCCACCATCTACAGTGGCTGCCATCATATTTGCAGAACCAGGCTCCCTTCAGCTCCTCCGTGATATAAAATCAAGAGAAACGATAACATCAGCTCCATCTATTTCTAACCAAGCCCTGCCTGAGTGTGGGCAGCCCCTGGAGGAGCCCATGGCGGGTGTTCTCACACAGGCAAGGCTGCACACGGGTGCGGAGCAGAGCTGTTTCTGGATGCTGTCGGTACTGCTTTCCCTCCTGATTTAAAAAGCCCCAAAATAAGAAAGGAGTCAATGAATCAAGGTCAAAAGAACATTGCGGCCGGCGTGTGCGCTCACGCCTGTAATCCTAGGGCTCTTGAGGGCCGAGGCGGCGGATTGGCTCAAGGTCAGGAGTTCCAAAACCAGCATGAGGCAAGAGCAGACGGCCCGTCTCTACGCTAATAAATAGAAAGAATTAATTGCCAACTGATATATTCACTATATACAATAGCCGGCCATGTGGCGCATCCTGTAGTCCAGCTACTCCGGGAGCTGAGCAAGAAGGATCCACTCAAGCCCAGGAGTTTGATTGCTGTGAGCTAGCTGAGCTGACGCACGGCTCACCCTACGGCTGGACAACGAAAGCGAGACTCTTCCAAAAAAAAAAAAAAAAAAAAGACATTTGGCAACGCATCCTACCTGTCTGCTTCA